CAGGAAGCACACTGGCAATGCTACAGCATTTTTTGATAGTATATGATTTGGTTTTCTAACATTTGGAGCTACTCGTCCCTAGCTATTAATCTTTAACATCTGCTTTGGTCCTGCCAGAATTTGCACCTGCAGTAGGAGATTGCAAGATTATGTTAATTAAATATAAAACTTAAACATGGTAAGTAGTAATATTCTGCATACTGAAATCTTGAAATGCAGGAAAAAGTATATGCAGTATTTACAAAGTAATTCAGACTCGAATCCATGCTTGGAAATTTAGGATGGATAGGCATGAACACTTTTCATACCTACCCAGTTTAAAATAGTACATGTCAGTTGTGTCTGAATTATCAGATGTGAAGTTGCTTTTGTATGGTAGCAAAGCACAAACCCATGAACTGCTGTAACAGTTAGCAAAGGATTTACAACTGCTTATTTCTTTCTTATATAGAATTCACTTCCAAATGTATATTTAGTTACTGATTTGAGATCTTTGAGAACATTAAGAAAAACTTGAACCAGTTTTTTAAGATTGCATATATTAATTTATGTTGAATATAAATATTCTGGAGACCCCGATTACTGTTTCTCAGTGGGTAGCTCCACCGCAGCTGCCCCATCTCAACAGTTGGCAGAGGTTGTGCCTGTCTGAGATCTGAAAGACTAAGGAGCAACTGTGGAAATGCTTGTTGGATGCATTACTGGACTCATGACGTTTGCAAATGCTACTCTTCCCTTGTGTTCAAAACAGCTCAGTCCTACTTCCAGATCCAAGAGGGTGCCTCAGGGCCGGACCATTCCGCCGATGGGACCTGAAACCAAAGTGTATGTGGTCTGGGTGGAACGTTATGATGATATAGGTGCGTGGAAGTTTTTATTGTTCGCTAAAGTAACAACAGGGCAGGAACCAGAGGAAAAGCTCTGTTCCATTCCTCTATAAAATGCTAAATCCTTATTAATGTCTGTAACCGACACTTACAAGATTCTGAAACAGCTCTTTGATTTTTGAGTGGTGGGCCATGGGGTGCACACGAATCAGTGGCATGTAGGTCTGGAGATTATTTTAGCTCTGGCAGTACATGTGAAATGCCATCACGCACCTTCTTAAGCTTAACACACAAGGCAAGTGTGCAGCCTTGTTTTTGAGTTCCCCTCAGCTGCTGTCTCCTCAGAGTGGATCTGTTCTTCCTTTAAAAAAAAAAAAAGACTTCTGACACCTGCTGCTTCTGTGCTGAAGGGATCATCATCCTTCTTGGTTTGGTGGTACCTTTGACACTTTCTGTTGTGTTCTCTCTAGCAGGAGGGCTCACTTATTCTGTGCTTGGTGTGCCTGTTTCATGCTATGCAGTCCAGCTTCCTTTCTGCACCTTTTTCAGGCAGGGTCCTGCTCCTCATGCAATTTAACGTTTCTTAGTTTGGTGTTTCCTCTCTGACTCTGGGTACTGTCTGACCTGGGAGAGACCTAGCTTTGCCCATCCTGTTACAGCCGTTGCATGGACAATGGTGGGCAGCTGGTTACTATGCTTGAGGAGTCCTTTGTCCCCAAGAGCTTCTTGTGTGCTGGTTCTAAGCCAGGGCCTGGCTTTAGTGCTATGCGAGAGCCTCTCTGTACTGGCTTAGCCCAGCAGAATTTATAACACTGGCCAGTAACTGATACTTTATTCTGTCTTGGATTTCTAATCCTGGTTCCCAGTCTGGCAGTAAGGGTGGACCTTAATTAAGTCCTTAGCTCCTCCCAGAGGAAAGCAACCAAGAGAATGGGAGCAACCAAGAGGAAGCTTCCTGTAAAGTGTAGGTGTAAATTCTCAAGACGACCACCTTGTCCACATCCTTCAGAGCTTTACTGGGATCAGGAGATGGACATCAAGTTCTTATGTATCTCAGCATCATTTCCTTATGCAGACATTGGCCCAGAAGGTGTTCCCTTAGCTCCAGGAGTCCCTCAGCCGCTTCAGTTCCTAAATTGGTGTCCCTGACCTACTTCTTTCTTGGGTGGCAGCTAAAGCCAGCTCACTGCAGAGGCAGCAGCTGTGCTACACATGCATGTTTCTGCTTGGCTGCTTCTTTCAGCAGCTGTAGGAATCTCCCAAAGCTCTGGGCCTGAAGCTGAAGAAGTGGGTTTGAGAGTCTCAGTAAGCGTGGCAGTTGGAATTGGGGGGGGGGGGGGGGGTTTCAAAGGGGGT